TTTGAAATACTTCAGCTAATACTGATCTTCTTTATATTATATATAATACATGCCAAAAATTGGTGAATAAGTTAACATTATAACCAGTAAGTATTATATGGCTCCAATGCTACAGTTCCTTCTCATTTCTAAGGCAAAGGTTTTTATTATATTAATATACATAAATCGCTAAAGCGAATGCGTTTCAATAAATTTATATGATAGTATCTTGCTTTTATAACTGTTGAGTTCTACATTAATAGAAGTGCTGTCCAAATGCAATCAAGTATTTCATAGTCAGCATAAAATATTTTCTATTAATCAGTTCATTCGCTATCTAAACGTATAAACTTTAAACGCTTATTCCTTTCTCACTTATTACTTATTCCTAATAATTAATCTTATTACCTATTATTCTTTTAATTATTAATACTTATACATTATACATTACACTCTTTGGTGATTACAGAAATATCTAATTCTTACGGATATTAATATATCTTTTGCCTTAAACGAAATATAGTTGTTACATACAAAGTAACTTTCTTGAAGTTGAGACATCAATAATATTAATTTTAATAGTTCTAACATATTCTCGGTATAATATTATTATTAATAATAATAATAATAGTAATAATAATAATATTATTATTAATAATAATATTAATATGGGGCTTTTCGATTTTTGTTGCCTCATCAGCGCTGACATTTTATGTACAATATTCATAAGATACTACTAGCAGACTTCACGAAATACATTAGTTCAAGTACCGTTTATATGTAAATTGTTAATATGGATGATATCATAATAAAGTAATAAACGATACAAAAGACCTTCGCAGTTGAGATATAATGCAGTATATATTGAAGTACGACGAGTATTTTGTTGACGACAATTAGATTTTTTTTGAAATACTTCAGCTAATACTGATCTTCTTTATATTATATATAATACATGCCAAAAATTGGTGAATAAGTTAACATTATAACCAGTAAGTATTATATGGCTCCAATGCTACAGTTCCTTCTCATTTCTAAGGCAAAGGTTTTTATTTTATTAATATACATAAATCGCTAAAGCGAATGCGTTTCAATAAATTTATATGATAGTATCTTGCTTTTATAACTGTTGAGTTCTACATTAATAGAAGTGCTGTCCAAATGCAATCAAGTATTTCATAGTCAGCATAAAATATTTTCTATTAATCAGTTCATTCGCTATCTAAACGTATAAACTTTAAACGCTTATTCCTTTCTCACTTATTACTTATTCCTAATAATTAATCTTATTACCTATTATTCTTTTTATTATTAATACTTATACATAATACGCTTTGGTGATTACAGAAATATCTAATTCTTACGGATTCTAATATATCTTTTGCCTTAAATGAAATATAGTTGTTACATACAAAGTAACTTTCTGAAAGTTGAGACATCAATAATATTAATTTTAATAGTTCTAACATATTCTCGGTATAATATTATTATTAATAATAATAATAATAATATTATTATTATTATTTCTTTTTATTTATTTCTCTTAATGGGTATAAAAATACATTTTGGATGCCTTAGCTTAAAACAAAATATATTGTATATTGTATATGAGAATTTAGGTAATGACACTTCTGATAATATGACAGGTATCGATAATCACTGACTTGTGCAAAGCATCAACGAGGTTTTGCGGGACTTCCAAAGGTGCTCATATTTGCACAGAGATGTTTGTCAATTACACCTTCAGCGCTAATTATTATAGGAATGGTCTTGATTTCCTTAAGGTTCCCGTTTCGTTTAGTTTCCACTGCTAACTCAGTATATCTGCTAATATTTATTATTTATTAATTTATTATTACTATTATTTTTATTATTATTAATAATAATATTGTTATTATTAATAATAATATTAATATTATTAATAATAATATAAATATTATTAGATAATATTATACTGAGAATATGTTGGAACTATTGCCAATTTCAAGATATACCTAGTTTGAATTGATTTGATATATTGCCGATTTATACTCTCGATTATTGTCCAAAATGAGAAACACTCTTGATATTAAGACTGTTCAATATATATTTACACTTGCGTAGTCTAATATAATAATAAACCACTACATTAGTTTGACTATTACTTCCAGCACTTCACTTTATATGCATATTTTGCCATGTAAACTTTAATATAATTAACATCAGAAATATACTTTTAACAGTAATTGTTTTTAATGGACTCGTAAGTAAGATGTTTAAGAAGATGTAACTGTGAAAAGAATCAAAAGAAGGGCAGTGGTTAAGTATATGATCTATATATGATGGGCTATTACAAAATGGACAGTTAAATGGCTGATCGCCACTCAAAAAATATTTATGATAAAGATAGATTTGCATATCCAATAGGCAAATGAATAAAAATTTGACACTGTTAACGGGTGCATGATTGTGGGTATATTGCTTTTATTTCACTGGTATTGATCGACTTGTAACGATGGTTGTACGCTGACCATTCTATAGCCCATATGTTCGTTTATGAAGTTTAACATTTCTCTTTTTTACAGATGTATTGAATAAGAACTAGGGAGAGCAAACGTCTGCAAAATCTATTTAGAAATTTTGGTAGTTATGTTACTTTTTCAATAGGTTTGCAAGTCAAGTACAAAAAATGTTGAATGGAAAAGCCAAAAAGGTTCATGATTTTGTATTCCCATGACAGGCATTAACAACGTCCTTATGTAAAAGACGTGTAAAAGATATCTTTATATTAAAGATATTATATTGATGAAAATTTGAAATATAATAAAAAACACAAAATCCCAAGCACTAATTTCTAATTATTTTACTTCACTATAACATCTGTGCTGTATTTGATATTAAATAAATAAATAAATATGTTTAAATATAATTCTAGTTTCTTTCAAAAATAAAAAAATTCTCTTACTCGAAGTCTCCATAATTCGAACCTTTCTTTTGCAAAATTGGACTTTGAGTTATGGAAGTTTGACTGTATAAAAATATATGTAAAAATTTAACAATATTTATTCACTTTTAAACATACTATTTTTATTATTTTATTCTTAATGGAAATTTCAATTAATTTTCAAATTAAAATCTTTAAAATTAATTACGCCCCTTAATGCATAATTATTTAACAGAAATGTTTTATTATGACATATGACCTATGGTTATCATGCAAATATATATTTGCGCAATTTAGATTTTTTTTGTTGTAGTTACTGCTAAGAACAATAACAATTTACTATTTATAGAAAAGTTTTAAATTCTCATTTCTAGGAAACAAAATTATAGACATAATATACATATAGTAAAGATATGATAAGACATACATAATATTGTATCTCCTTATCGCACAAAAACCAAATTTTAGGAATGAGTATGGAAGTGGTTGCATCCGCATTCCTGTAACGAAGGTAGAGAGGTTAAGGCAAGAGACTTAATACCTAGCGGACTAAGCCAGAAAGATTTTGCCTTTGAAAATGTGGAAACAAACCTTTTTTATATCAAAATAGGGTATTTCTGTCTAATGAATAATTTTTACTGTAATTAATTTATTTTTTTCCATAATAAATTTGAAAGGGTGTAATTTGTAATTTAATTTTATTTGAAAACGAAAAATACGAAAAAAAAAATAATAAAAATAATATATTTATAAATGCATAAATATTGTTAAAATTTTACATATGTTTACAGATTTTAAATTATACTTCATATATAATTTTTTTAATAAATATCATAAATATTAATAAAAGTTATTTAAAATGTAAATTTATTATTTAGTAAAATACAATAAAATAAATTTATTTAAGCTAAAATTAGCACCAGAAAAATTACTCCATTCTTCCACATAATTTAAAATCTCAGTTACAATCACTTGAACCATAGATATGTCCTTAACTTTGGAGAATATAATCATCCGCGTAAATAGCGTTTTCAAATCTATTGTATTTCAGCATTATTTTATTAAGTGGATCTAAAGTTATTATAAGTGAAATTACTGTTAATGAAGGTCCCTGTGGAATCTAATTATATAGAGAAAAGTCATCCTAACGCAAAATTTGTGGTTAGTCAAAAAAGGTTTAACAAAATTAAAGATCCTTTGACCAACTTTCAAAACAAACCAATTTTTTTTTGTGATTGTTGTCCACCTATTAATATTGCAAATTGATTTCCCCCTATGAGGGGAGGCCCACGAGCGATACCTGTAAAGCACATAACTTTCACCGCGTTTTGCTTATATGACTACCGATGTAATGTAGTAATATTATAATACATATTAAATATAAAAATGCTAAATTCAGCGCACGGTAAAAAATATATAAGAAAAAAATCATTATAAGGTGAGAACACAAAAAAAAACAAATCTGGTCACTATGAGCATTAGTCGAAGATTTAAAAATTAATTCTTAAACTTGTTAAATATAGTTATGTGTTTCATTTTTGTCTAATTATATTATATATCTTTTTGCAATTTTACATATTCATAGAGAAGCTGACTCGACTTCTGCAAGAAAAATGACCATTGAATAACAGATTTGTCACCTTGGTGGGTATTTTATTGGGCTCTGTCTTTGATACTGTGAAATTAATTTCTGATTAACAGTTCTGCCATTTAAGTTAGAGCATACCAATATATAGAGGTTACTAGCTAAATTCTAATAACAGAAACAGATTATATGTTGCAGGGCCCGTCTGTTTTTGTGAGATTTAGAGCAATGTGCCGCATTAGGTTTAAAATTCTCTAAATATTTTCTAAAGGGTATCGTCTTTTTCAAAAAACACTAATCTCTGTGTATAAATTTCTGTACCTACCTGAGAGATTTTTATAATTTTCGACAATATTTTCACGTTCCATAATCCTACTCATGTACCATTAATAATTCTATCCGATTTATTTTTTATATTTTATAACAGTAGATTCCGACTCATAGCAACCCGATAGTTTAATAGTTTCAATAGTTATATAGTTTAAAATTATAAAAATTTCCAAATTTTTCCAAATATTTCGGAAGTTCTCTAAAATTAAAATTTATCTGAATATTAAGAAAATATGTAGTATTGATATCTAAATTTCTTAGTGGTAAGTAGTAAAAGCATCAAAATAAGTGACAAGTTTTGATAAACATATTTCCATGTTCCCTGCAATTGCTTTGCCTTTTGTTAAAAATTAAAGGCTTTTAATGGTATTGAGAATTTAAGAGGCCGGAACTTATTGATTTATTATTTTTTAATATTTATTTTTAATGAATACATTTGTTTTCAGACAAAACAGAAAAACTAGTAAGGCGTATTAGACGTATTAGTCAAAATACGTCATATCTCTAATTTGTTGGGAACGCACACTTATATACTGAAGTTCAGTGCAGTGGTCAAAGTTGACGTCACATATTGAAGGTATCTTTCAAAGTTTCAAAATATATATAACAGTAGTAAATTATATGTATTTGTATTTCGCTACCGTAATACCTTCATCAGCTGCTGCTTATTAACTAATTACCAATGAAGGTTTTTTATTCATAATTTAATTAAAAAAATTTTTTTTCTTCAAACATAGCTGCTATCACTACGCTTACACAATTTGGCCACCAGATTACGAGCTTCAAGGTCAAAAACAGAAACGTCCAACCCTTCAAAAACGCACAACACCTACCAAAAAAAAAAACAAACTCCGGGAAGGTGCTAAGATCTGTTTTTAGATTGAAAGTTCCATCTTTTGTGGGTGAAACTATTCTTCGACTAGCAAAAACACCAAATAACAATAAACTTCGGAAAAGTTCAAAGATCTGTTTCTGGATTAAAAGGTTTATCTTTTTGGGACTGAAAACTATATTTCGATCAAGAATAAACAAGAATTTATCAGGGCAATGTATTATTTTATTGAACATTCTTTACTATTGCTTGTTAGGGTAGTTATAATTTTACGAAAATTGGATTTTTTTATGAAAAATTTCAGATTTTGGCAATTAAATAAAAATGCACTTATTTCAGAGGCATCAAATGGTTTTCCGACTTATATCATTTTTTAAAATAGAACTTCTTTTAAACATTAAAAACATCTATGTCAATATGTTGCCATACTCCATCTGTGAAAATCTCTTTTTGTTACAAAATTAGTTACTGGTCATCTGTGGGTTAACGTGAACATTGACCGAGTTAACATCCATGACTTATGTATATTAGGTTTTTTTTAGATATAACATTTTTCAAAATATATTTATCACGAAATATTTTAGCAGAAGCCATTAAAATGTATTTCTCATACTAAAAGAGAAACATTGAGAGATATGTCATAAGAAAGTTCAATTTTCATAAAATAAAAAAGGTATGATGGTGCATATACATTTTAAGACATAAGTAAGGCTTAAGCTATTGAATCTGATAGTTTTCACTGAAAATTTTATTCTTAATTCAGTTACGTTACTACTTTTCTTCAGTAAAAAAATAGAAGTAATAATTACAATAAATTTCAAATTTCACTCGTTCACTAAATTCATTCATTTTTCAACATTTCCAACATTATATCTTTTAATTAGAAACATATAAATAATAATATATTATTATAATAAATAATAATAAATATATTAACTATAAAATCGACAATTATATTAAAGTACTTCCCAAGGTCTATTAATATTCCGCTTTAACTTTAGTCTAAACCCACAACAGCTGCAACAGTAGTTTCCTGACTAATTTAAACTGAATCATTTATTATATGTATATATAATTATTACACATAGGGTTAGACGATTAAAGGGTTACCTATTCAAGCAACTACATCTTTTTTGTGTGAAATTAATTTTTATTGAAACAACAAATTACAAAAGTTTGTGGAAATAATCAAATCTTCAGAATCTATTCACTCTAGCACGATGTGGATGAAAGCCTCCTTTTGCCTTGACTATGGGTTTCAAACGGTTTAGAAATCAATTGCATGCTTCACGAATGCGTTCTTTCGATATTTTGTTTCATTCCTGAACAATGGCTTTCTTCAACGCATTTCTATTTGCATATTTTTTAGTCCTCAACATCCTCTCCAAAATGGTCTAAATGGAATAGTCCATCAAATTTATATCTGGTGAATTCAAGAGCCATTGTGTGAACGAAATGATGTGTGGAACATGACACAACCATTTTTGGTTTACACGAGTTTTATGAGACCAAGACCGGTGTCGAGTCTTGCATGCTCACGACTGTATAATACTTTCAAAACATTTTCCCGATAATAAATCGCATTAAGTTTGACACAACGCTCGATGTAAACGATTGGAGAGCGTCCATCAGCGGTAACAGCTGCCTATATCATTACTTGAGATGGAGAAGGAAAATTAATTCGGGTGACCATACATAGTCTTAAATTTTCGGCAATGCATTCAGTTAAGTAAACACTCAGATTATTCTGAGCACTTAGAGTTAATGAAATGATGAATGACCATCTTAAGTGATGTTGCTGTAATTTTCCAGCCATATGTAACTCAATCAGACTATTACGTTTGAACTCCATTTCGAATAACTTTTGTTCTATAAAACTTAGACACAAATACTTATGGTAGCTTAATGATATAAACAACTGTCATTTGTATGAATTTTACGTAGTTGACATACTCAGTTTGACTCAGATATACCTATGTGTAGTTGGTAACACTTCAAACGCCTGAACCTGTATAATAATATATATATACATTATTATATACACATTTTTATTTTTATGTATATAAAAAGGTATATATAATTTAAAACTATTTTGTTCTAATAAACAAATTTTGTACTTATTTTCCAGTTAACAAAAACTACAATGGCACGTGGACATCAAAAAAAATTATCGCAGATTCGTTTTCAGGATAAACAGGAAAAACTGAAAAAGCAACAAGGACACCACGTCAATGACCAAAAGAAGGCAGCACAGAAAGCTCTTGCATACGTTTGCGTCGTTTGTAGGGTAACATAAATTAACTAAAATACAAAAATTCTTTTAAAATTGACCTTTTCAATTCCTACCAGTCTCAGATGCCTGATCCAAAAACGTACAAACAGCATTTTCAAAATAAGCACCCCAAATTCGAACTCCCACCAGAACTTAAAGATGTTTGAGCTACATAAATCAAGTATTGAAATCTAATTTTCTAAGTTAGTCTTTCATGAATTTCACCACCCACACTTAGATGAGGTTAAAATGAAGTACATACATATATTTTTGGTTTTTAAAAATTAATTACTGATCATTTTACAAATCTATAATAAATTAAGATTTAAAGAATTTAACAAATTTTGTGTGTAGTATATATAATAAATAATACCCACAAATAATTTAATGGGAATCGTTTTTTATTATTCTCATCCAATATTTCTGTTCTACAGTTGTAAGAAAGGAAGTGATCATAAAAGCTTGAATGTCTTACTGTTTGAATCAGTTCAACAACATTTGTTTTTAACGTCATTTACACTGATCCTTTCGCGTTACCGATGGACGAGTTTTTTGTAATAAATCCTTTCTTACATGCCCTGAACGTCGAGAATGAAGTAATACGTCTTGCTAATACGTCTTGCATACGTTATAGTGATAATAAAACTTTTCTAAGTCTACTGCAACAATTATATTTAATGCAACAAGAATGCATTTAAATCTATAAAAAGATTCCTTCTTTGGACTGATACCTTTAATTATTCATCACTAAGCAGAAGCTTATATTTCAACGATATGAGAACTATTTTTATTCAATTTCAATATGCTAACCTATGATCAGACCTATGGTCCCATCGGATCAATAGTCTGACAGAACTGCACTCTTATTGATCTCGTTTACATCAAAAAAAAAGTGCACTTAGATGTCACGTCTTCGAAAAAAACAAATTCAAAAAATCCATAAATCGTTTTAAAAGATGTGATAGACTCAACGATCCCGGATGAATCGCCTGACTTCAAATCATTCGAAGTTTCTGGGTAGGGAAAGTTTTTATTAGTTTCACATATTTAGAGTTAATTTCTACGCCATTAAACACAACAAATCTTAAATATTCTACTTGGTTCTTAAAGAACTCGTATTTATCAAGTTGAACTTTCAAGACCGCTTTTCTAATGTTTCAATTAACAAGTATATTTTTTAAATGTATTTCTTCGCTTTGTCCAAAAATTGAAATGTCCTATATGTAAACGCAGCAACATTTCCCTGTAAGGCCCAATTAATTTAAAGTCTTTTGAAAAATAGCAGACGCATTCTTCAACCCGAATGGGAGTGCATTAATTTTTCCGATTATTTGCTGAGAATACTGTTTTTAGAATGCCGTATTCATTGAGTAAAATCAGATGACGTCCAATTTTAAGATCTAATGGCTTGAAAAATTTTTGGTTTCGCATTTGTGCTATGATCTTGTGTGAATAACAGCATCTAATGATTTTAAGCTATCATTGCCAAGTATGTCAGTCATTAAAAGATTTCAATGGTGACAATATGAAAAATTTATGATTGATATTGGTTTCGAAAAAGTTAATATTTGTATTATGAGTTATTGGAATCTTTCCTTCCACTAAGTCTGTGTTAAAAATGTTTTCGGTGAGTATGGGATTTTGTATCCAACATTGTTGATTATAACTACACCGATCTAATTTTTCCTGAAAAAAGTCGTTGGTTATTGTCATTGGGTAAAAAATTTGCTCTACCTGTGAATGAAAATAATTTCTCGAAACTACATTTGATAGCAGCCGTAGAACAAGGCATTCAAAGTATTAAAAATGAAAAAGTTAAGGAAATTACTAGATTTAAAACAGCTCATAATTTAATCAACTTCAATCATCAACATAAAAATAGCAGTAGAGAAAAATTCATTCTTAAAACATATGATAACACTCAAAAAATAACAAACAAGCTCAAAAAGGATATTTTCGTCATGGAATCGGATAAAGGTAAATAAAATGACATTATTACTAGATGACAAAAACACATATAAAACATTACGCACAGATCCAACTAATAAATTGATAACTACTAATAACAATATAATATAATACAATACAATATTATACAACAAAAAAAAAACAACTGCTGTGTAGTACAGCTAACGCTATTAGACTATATGGCTTACCCAAAATCCATAAGTCTATTGTACCTCTCAGACCAATAGCGGAGTCTACAACGGTTCCTTGTTATAAACTGTCATATTATAGTGAAAAAGAAATTCTAAAACCACTAATATCGTCAGATTTCAATATAAAAAATTCCCGTGAATTACTTGAAAAATTAAAACATATTAAAATGGAAGACAACGAAATACTAATCTCATTTGACGTAATTTCATTGTTTACAAATATACCAACGAACCTGGCTACTAAAATCATCTTAGAAATGGAATAATATAAAAAATACAACGAAAATCTCCAAGACTTAATTTTCGAAAATTTTTGACTTTTGTCTTAAAGACAATAATTATCTCATTTTTGGCGATCAGATATACCAACAGGTGTTTTGGTATGCCTATGGGAAATCCATTTTCTTCTACTATCACAGATGCTTGATAAACTATTTCACGAAGCCATAGCTGAACTCAGAACTATGAGCATAGAATTTAAATTTATTACCAAATATGTTGATAACATATTTGAGATTATTAAAAAATCTGAAAAAGAAATTATCCTGAAAACGTTAAATAATTTCCACCAAAAAATTAAATTTACCTATGAAGAGGAACTAAACTTCCATATCGCGACATCGAAATCATAAAACGAGATAATAATCTAATCTTCAATTGGTGCAGCAAAGCTATATCTCCAAAACGTCTTATCAATTTTCACTTTTCACAGCCCATTAGCTAAAAACTTTGTACTATGAAAAATTTCATTAAAAAGGTATTTGACAGTAGCGTCAAATACAAGATTCTATTGAACAATAATTATTCGCACAGATTAATTAACAATTTAATTAAACAACACGACAAAAATTACAATAACAATATTCAAAATAGCAATAACCAAATTTCTAAACACTATTAAGGAAAACAAAAAAACTACAAAAACAACCACCTTGTATGAAAAATGCATTTTATATTTTCATTTTAAAATTATTCGGCAGGCCAGTGCCGAATTCATGATTTTTATATTTATAACGCAAAAGTAACAGTTGTTAGTGCCTTTTAAAATAAAAAGCAGAATTTTAATAGTTACTTCTGCGCGAAAAAATAAAAGGCACATAAAATAATTATTTTTGAGGAATATAATAAAAAGCAAATTTAATTATTATTTTTTGAGTTTTATTTTAAAATGCGAATGACAATAGTTAAAAGATGATTTTTATTTTTTTTATGATAACTGTTACGGTCCTATTTCATAATCTAGTTATATTTTATATTATAATAATTAACTTTATTCCCATGCTTTAAGTTAATGAACCTTAAAATAATAAGTAATATAAGCAATAAATATACATCAAAAAATAAATTTAAAATTAAAATATAAATAGAAAATCACTTCTTAAATAAAATATTTCGCCTTAAGGTCAAACGTAATGCAAATCAGTTTTCCGCACTATTTTGTTGCGTTATTCATCATAATATTGTGCGGTTCTAAACTATCATTTCACACAAATGTGCAGTAGACATTTCGTCTCCGCACATTTAGGTGCATTTTTATTTTCAAGTCTGCACACAAAATGTGCAACTCGTATTCTTTTCAGCACACGTAAAATAACTTCGGCACAACATCGAATGTGTGTGCAAGTTTCATTTCACTCCACCACATTCGTGCAGTGTGGTGGGGTGATTTTCTGAACAGTTTTTCTGAACCCTTCTTTATTGATTTCAGATGAATTTCAGAGTCCTTATAATGATTAGATCTGGATAAACTTAGAGAACTATGAGCAGAAAATGAAAGAAGGAAAATGTTCTTTTAAAAACTCATTTCTTTTCTATATCAAGTTAAAATTTCTCAACCGTCTCTGTCGGAAATATTGCAGGACTGATCAAATCTTATTAAAAAATAAATCACACGACTAATCCAAATATAGCAAATTTCTATTTAATTTATACTTAATTTAAAAATTATATCTATTTTTTCTTGTAGAATACATAATTTTGCTTTATTTAAATAAAAAAATAACCACAAAAATAAACTGCTTCTGCCCGGTATCGAACCGGGGACCTTCCGCGTGTAAAGCGGACGTGATAACCACTACACCACAGAAGCGTCTACAATTACGATATCTTAATCATGAATTAAATCACACTCTACAGATCATTCCAAACAATTCTGAAAAACTAACCACCTTACCTGGTATTCCTAATCACCTTGATAAACACAATGTTTTACCGACATACATCTTTCTACCGATTGGCACTTATAATTGGGTGTATGTTTAAATTTAAATTAGTTTATCAATAAAAATAAAAGTATACCCTAAATTTTTCTTTAATGCATCTCTATCACATGTCGAGTAAAATTAGGTTATAAATTTTCCCGTAGAAGACTCTTGCTTAACTCTATTGCTCTCCTGGACTAGTTTCATGTTATTCTACTTATAATTTCCCCAGACAACATAAATAAAAAGACATTAAATATTTAGTATAAAGATTACTCAAAACTAGGAGTAATCTAAAAGTCTATTCAAATAGCTACCACGTTCAATACAAAACATTTTTGGAAAACATTGGTGTCAACTGTATTACTTTAAAACTACAATATAAAATACTTTTAATAACATATACACGAAAGAGGTCCTTTCATAGTTTGAATATATTCTGTAATTTCTTTTCGTGTAAGCCCAGTAACGCTTTACTTTTATCCAAACTGCTTTGAAGTTTAGCCAGAGCCGACCAGTATTCTGACGACCAATTTCTAACTGACGTTTAAAGGAATCAGGAATTTAAAGTTTAGTTTTAGTCATAATGGCCTTAGGAATACCAGTTTCCACAACGCTCTCCTCCACCTTAGGCACTGAAAATACAATAAACCAATTATGTACCGCTGTGTGACAAAATTCAATATATAGGAAATGCAAATTTAATCAAACTTACTAGGTGCGGATGGTGCAGGCTTTGTAATTTTGGATAATCCCTTCCTCTTGGTCTTCTTGCGCTTCATCGCTGTTTTGCTTTGCCTTGTATATGTTGTTCAATGTTTACAAAGCGTGCGTGTGACATATTAATTGATTTGCAGTGCTTCAAATCAATTACTCGTTACTGACGCAATACTTCTACTCTATTTATACTTCGAAATGTTAAGGTCATATATATATAAAACATTCTTATATATAAAATGTAGAAATTTATATTGAGATCAAATTCATTTCTTCATACATCAAAATGTTCAAGTCTTACAATTTGTTGATTATTTCAGGTAATTTAATATAAATAATGTAAATAATGTTTGTTGACTTTTAATTCTGGCATTTATTAATGAATAATACTGGTTGGACCCATCTCTCTTGCACGCAATGCCAATTTTTTGATTTCGCTGAAAAAACAACAATTTCTTAAAAACACTTAAAAGTCGGGAGTATGAAAAGTATGTTTACTCATCATACTAACAATACAAGTTAGTTGGATGTTAATTATAAAAAGTCAAAAATATCAATATGCATAAAACCCATTTGGATATGGTGTAAACACAAGTTCGCATCTAATAGCACATTTACACTATCTCATTTAGGCAGTTTTTCTCATTTGCTGTAACATACATAGAGCTTTCATACAAATCAGCTCATTTATTTATAAATCAACACATTTAAGGCGATATTTAAAATATCGGATAAAAATAAGGAAAGGAAGTATTTAATTAAATTTTCGTTTTTGTTGTTCTAAGCCTGACACTTGCAGTCCAAACAAATTAAAATATTTCCTAAGACCACTGACGCTTGGGAATTCTCGAAAAACCGAAACGAATTTCAATAAATTAATTAAAATATTTGAAAAAATAAATCATTTAATTTCTATTCGAATCCTTCTAACTTTTAAATAGTTTCTTTTCGTCATAAGACACGTGCCGAAATTTTTTTGTTACAATTAAAATGTTAACAAACAAAAGTTTTTTAACCGCTTTTTTGACATATAAAAGCTCTATCAGCTGCTTAAATTAGTTCATTAGAGTGTGAACATTCCGCTTTTGGACTCATTAATGTGATTGAGGCAGTGTGAATACGCTATAAACATATAAGACCATAGCATACGACTTTTCTTATCTTATACTGGATTCACAAGAGAGTTTTGTTACATTTTATTTTAGACAGCTAAAATTTATTTGTTTTTTAAAAGCGTTTTTTTTTTGTAATTGCTGCTGTCATTTGAAATTATTCTAGATTTCGATAGATTATTCTTGATCAAGTACAAGTCAAATAGATTTGTATGGGAATTTCGACAGCTTGAAACAGAATTGATTCGTATTTTGTTTCAAGTGAACAATTCACAATAGCACAGTATTGTACAGTACAAAGTCGTGGTATTGTGAATGGTTTTAAGGAATGAATGAAATTTTCATACAAAATGAAACAAAACTGTTATCATATATGCAAAGTAAATATTTTTTGAAAATAGTTAAAAAGTGCAAAAGTATATAATAAAAACTATCAATTAAGTAAATTTTATATAATGTAAATATTTGTATTTTTTTGATGGAAAAAAAGAAAACACAAAAATAAATTTGAAGTAGCTATTGAAGTTTGGAGAAATAAATAAATAAGAATATATAGAAATTTATAATAAAATCTTTATTTTCAATTAAAAAAATTGTGCAAATACATGTAGTTTTGATAAACTTTGGCGCATTTAATATATTATTCCCAGTGCATTTTCGACAACTCTTCTAGTTTTAGCAAAGTTATAATTAAAAGTACTTTCATTTGTACTTTGATTAATGTAATATGAGTAAAACTTTATCACATATTCTGAGAATCTGACCACTGAAATTCGATTGATGAAGTATCGCTAATGTCCATGCTCAGGTCGTTCAGAAGAGGACATGATACTATATGTGATTTAAATAAAAATTCATCATAAATTTAGGAATCATTACATTGAACTGCTACCTTGCGACTAGTTCTAAACTAGTGAATTCACTAGTGCTAAGATGTCTAGTCGTCGAGATACTAGTCGCTTCATAATTCACATTACGTTCGCTTCACTGGTGAATTTTACAATGAGTTGTCATTACCAGTTTCATTTGTCTCCGTACGACGAGTCTTTTCACTAGTTCATGAGGGATAAAATGATGTCAATTGTCCCCGATGATATACCTCAGTACTAGTATTTTCAGTAATTTATGACTTGGAAAGCAATAAATAATACGTGTATTTTATATAATATATATATACATATATTATATATTTTTGTACTAATAAATTACTTTCTAGCTGATTATGTTGTTGTTTAATAAGATCTTTTAGGGGTTTATGGTAATTCTTTACCGTATCTTCAAGGGATTGAATTTTTTTCCATCTCCTTCAACCGATGATCTATAAATGTTGTTGCAACCTTGTCTTTAATGAAAATAAAAAAAATTTGTTTTAAACGCTATTACTATTTTAACTGAATTTGGTACTTACTTGGGTTTTGAACACATTCATTCGTATCCATTACAGCACCTTTTAATAACCCATGTATATCCATATGTAAACTGTTCTCTTTTTAATTTCATCAATTCTAGATATCGTATAATATTATTTTACATGTTTTTGTATTACATTCTTAAAATTATTTGCAACAATGTAGCAGTAAAAGCAATTTTTTATCGAAAGTAAGATCAACATATTTAAAAGCGATATCTGATTGGTCGAAATGCGCTTACACACAACAAACTGAACTCACCCAACGTCATCCCTGACGAGCAATTCGTATTCAGAATAAACACTCAGCCGAGCTTCAACTAGCTCAAATCTCGCAACACATTCAACTTACTCTCAGGAATAGAAAATCCACAGTGAACGTTAAAATGTTCGCTCCAAATATCCCAATAAACCTAATACAGCTGATCGAAAGTTTCTTAAAGAACCGTTCATTTGTAGTAGAAATGGAGAACTTAACATCCTCAATGAAACACATAAAAGCGGGAGTGCCGCAACGCTCACTTCTATCTCCTACGCTTTGCAACTTAAATACGTCATCCCAAAACTCGACCCATCGACACTATCACTTTACACCGATGACAAACACAATTCAGGAACACATTGTCGCGTTAGTCCTATACTTGGAAAGTGTAAGTGCTATAATGGAAAATCAAATTAAACAAAGACAAAACCAAAGCAATATTCATCTACAGAAAATTCCATCAAAATCCAAACCGCCTTAGAATCGGCAATCAAAAACTAAATTGATCAAATACATTGAAATACTTACGAATCACTTTCGATAACAAAAACACTTGGAAAGCGCACATAAATAATAAACGGTCCCATTGCAGTAGTATACTGCATTACCTTCAACCACTCTTCAACTAATTCATGTACGCTGGCGACAATTGTCTCATAGAGAACTACTGGGCTGTTTAAGCAGTGTAATTAGTCAATCTACAAGAGTGTTTGATTTTGTAACGAATAATTGAACTGAAGCGTTTTAAATCAATCGAAATTTTATCTTCATTCTTACAAACTTTAAATAAAAACAATAGATAATGCATCACCATTAGTTATATTCGAAAAACAAACACTCGACTAAGGAATAATATATTTTGTTTAGTTATCTCTGATCATTCGGAGCATTAATGGTACATTATATGTAATATTTCTTCTTATTGATATTCCTTATTTCTCTGAAAATTGGCGTCATAAATCAACGAGTTACTTATATTATACTGTTATTTTATACTAAAGATTTTATATCGGTTTTTTAAGTCATCCCCATGGCCAGAGATAATCGTCGTTAATTTATTTTTAATTGTACCAAGGTATACCCTACTAGTACGTTTTGAACCCAATGTTTTCACAAGAAATTTTCTTCTTCTTTTGATTAATTTCTCTGTTGATTCTCGTACTCTCAATTGTGCCCATCTTTAGCATAGCAAAAACAACGTCTACTAATTTTATTTATGCTTAGTGGCTGATTCGTTCGTCATTTCATCGAAGTTGTTTTGCAGAACAATACTCGCTATTGTTGAGGAAATCGGTGATTACAAATTATTTGACTGAACATTTTATTTTCAAATTTAACATAAGCTAATTACGAATATTAGGACTGTTCCACGAGCTACTCGTAGTAACTTTGCGTAACACTGTGCATACACGGGTGCGTTCCACCAGCAAATTTTCAAGTAAATGAGAGCATCTGAGAGAGAGCAACATCGTAACATGTACGACTTCACTCGTACATTTTATTTCAAGTAAAATTTATATTAATGAGTGAATCAGCAGTTTTGGTTTGAATTTAAAATTTTATATTGTTTATTTGCGCTGCACTGGTGCTCTCATCAGACTTTACTCGAAGCTGTTCCATGAAAATCTATGTAAAGAGCGCAATTTAGCACTTCATTTGTATTATTCTCTCCGTTTGTACTTTACTTGTGTTTTACTTGAATTTTACTACGAGTAACTCGTGACCTATTATATGCACTGAGATAATTGGCTATATTATTAATATTATTATTAGTGTTAGAAAGGGATAAAGGTATGCAACATGAGTACGTTGAAAATTTTCAAAATATGCAACACAACGTTATATACATGGCATTGTTATTGTAACGCTATGTACTGCCGAATTTTTTTAACAATAGGGTGAGATCTATTAAAGATAAGGTAAGCTCTTATAAAACTTTAGTAGTGAGAAAGACAATTAGAAGTATTATGTGAAACAAAATCTTTGTAAAGAATGTCTTTAACTTTAAACGGTAATTATGTTGTACATTTAAATACATAAAATTCAATTATAAATAGCGATAAAAATAAAATAAATGAAAAGAGGCGTGGTATTACTATGCTTGCTAATTTCTTTAATAAATGTTTTCAAGGATTAAATAATATTTAGATAATATAAATTGCAAATGTTTTCTTATGTAGTTAAATTTCAAAACAGTATTTAAAAAAAATCCATCTCTGTCCAAATATCCATTCTTAAGCCCGATTCATGATATATATCCTTCATGATTTTTTTTTATACGTTTTGTCCATTACTTAATTTACTTTAATTTACTTTATCGTCGTAGTACTCCTCATCAATACTGCACAATTTGGGGTACACATCACTAACACCAGTTTCGCAATCTGCAGCTGAAGTCTCACTAGTTTTGTACACGGGCTTTCCAATTATATTATTAGAAGCGTAATTACATGTTAACAAGAAATTTCTGTAACCATCTATCTTATAACGGATCGCAGCACACCCAACATGAGTTGCTCTGTCGGTGACGACGAGAGTGAAATGCCCGATTTGTCTAAACATTTCAAATTTCACATAATGATTAATACAGAATTTTATTATTTTTTTTTGTACTTACTCTCCAGTTACCTCTTCAGGATATTTACTTATCTCATCTGGAGTTACATTTATTGATTCATTAACCCAAGCATTAAAACGATTTTCGACTAACCAAGCAACTGTTTTGGCTGGCTCATCAGTTGTATAACTGTACAAGCCAATATTTTGACCAGAGAATGGAGCACGCAAAGTGCTACGACATTCGTCATGTTTCATCTCACATGTCTTAACGTTCAGTAATGCCATTTCACTTAATTCGTCACACCAAACCATTTGAGCCATTCGTCCTGCCGGAGGAAGTGAACCAACGCCTTCAGCATAAGCATTACGTACGTTGTTATGCAGCTCCAATATCAAATCCTTATGTTTAATTACATTGGCAACTATTGCTGATGATGGGCAGTTCAGTGAAAGTCGCTTAAAATAAAATAATAATTACAATTATAATTACAATTATAATCGTTTATGTTAATAGTTACCCCATCATTATTACAGGCAATATGTCTTTGACCGCAATGATAGATATTGCAATAATCCTCCGATTGGACACGGACAATACCCTGGATTATAGCAATTAATACAATTAACAACTTCATTTTTGTATTTCCTTGTATAACTACTATTACACACTTTATACAACTGATACCTGTTCTTGCAAGTTGGTTGCTTTTATACTAAAATCTTCTAATGCAAGAATGCAATTCTTCGGATATAAAAAACAGATGTGTAAGTGATACTAACAAAATATTTTCAAAAACATAAGCTGTTTTCATCCTATACCATTGCCGTACCAAATAAACAATGTGATTTTTTCATATGTATGTACAATAAAAAATGTATGTGATTCACTTCATTTCTATTATCTAACTATAGAACAAAATCGTTCTATTGTTAGAACGATTAACCTGTAGAATATAAGAATCATTAAATAGAAGATTTGATAAATTAATATAATTGCTACCTAAGGTCTTGAAATAATATTTGCTCTTCTTCTATAATCTGACAAAGCATTTTAAATTGAAATTCCTATATTCATAAAATAAAAATGTATATAATAATATTAACATAAAGTATTTAAAAGGCACTGGTTAACTTCAAAAGAAAACTATCACATAATAACCAAAAATCATAGTTCGGTGTAGGCTAATATCAGCATCTGTACATATGTATGTATATCATAAGCTCTTCTGCGAAATTATTCACTTTAATCAATTTAGTACCAAAATTATCTGTATAATATAACATTGCTTTGAATATACCTAGAGGAGCTTTAATTCGATACTAACGTTTTCAGATCCCGTTCCCATATAATATTTCCTAATATTTGGTAAATTCCATAGCGAAGCGATATGTACACTTCTTTACAGTCAAAATTTACTATACTATTTTGTAGAAATAATTAATCATATTAAACTTTTTGGTGAGATAGGTACTACGCTCACTTGCTATGGACCATTTAAAATTAAGTATTCAAACCCATATAAATTCACCCGAACAACCAGTACCAATCATGCATACCAGTGTATCGTAAATACATGAATAATACATATCGATAAATTTTATTTTTTATTAAGCAATAAATAGTCGAACAGTGATCACTACATAATATTAAACAATTTAATGTCATTCTAAAACAGAACCTCTATTTGATCAAAAAATTATTTCAATTTTCATTATATTATCATATCAATTTTAATTTTGTTTAGATTAAAGCTTTGATCGGACTAAGCAGAAATTGGTTTAAATGATGCTCTCCTAGAGTATGCACTAAGATTTTAACTGATGAGCAAAACTTGTATGATAGGCTATCTATAAGCTAAATAGCTGGTTCATACCTACAGTTATGGTAAGGTATCCCTCTTCAGCAGAACAAAGTTGAGATTGCCGGTGGGATATTAAACGGGTCACCATGAACTGCGTTATCACCTTAATAAAATGGCTCTGTCCGAAGATATGGAGTGTCGACTCTGCTTAGAAACAGACGAGATTTCCTGTAACACTCTCTGTGACTGCTCAGCCTTAATCTGGGCCAGGAAGAGGTCATTGAGAAGAGAGCTGCACTCCCTTCAGCCATTAGGAGGTTTTCACAGCCGACATTGTGGTCTTCATGTCTTCTGTTAGGTTAGGGTCTATTGTTGAACAAAAGATCAATCTGGTTGCAGTGCTCTCCTCCGTTGGGAAGTAGTACCCCGTTCATATTTATTTTATTCTATTCTATGATATTTTATATATTTTAGATTTTTTAAAGTGAAAAGTAAAAGTAATTCTGTTCAAAAATGAAGAGTTTATAAGGACACTTACCATAGTATTTCCAATACATATCATAAAAATGGCTTCAGCACGTGCATTTAATAGAATATATTGAAAACAGTTTCTTTTAATTCAAAAAAAATTGAGAGCGATTGATTTATTATAGATTACTTTCTGCAATACGTTGTTCATAGTGTAGTCATAATGTTTTCTTTCAAAGTAGTAAAACAACTCTCGTAACTTACGAAATAAAACATGTGAAGTAACAGCAATGCTCTTAAGATCTTCAAAGTAAGGTTTAATAGTACAAAATTTTAATCTTAAGTGTCAGTACAGCCAAATTCAAAATCAGTCTATTGTGAATGTCCACTGGAAACATATTGCAAAATTCCAGTCATCCGTTAAAATCGTTAAGCATTTTATTAACTAATAAATTCAAATACATTAATAAATAAATTAATTTTAATATATAAGATAAAAATGCTTGCCATTGTCCGTCTAATATTCATTTTATTTTGTTTTATCTATATTAATAAATTTTCAGTATTTACAATATTTATATTATATTGTACATAACACAACAAAAAACATATGTCAAAAAAAAACATTAAACGTATTTCAAGAGTTATGTCTATTTTTTGCAACCATACTTAATGCTGTTTTTTTACAACTCTGAAAGAAAAAATTATGGCTATTATGTAAGTAACAACGTGCTAAGAAGTACATATATTAGTTAATCGTAACCCTAAATTATATATAGCATATAGGACAATATTTTAAATTCTATCGTCTTAGAGATACTCGTATTAATAACATTTTCGATTGGTAAACGTAGTGTAACTTTTTCAATCGAGATTCATTTTCAGTGCAATTTTCATTTTCCACTGGTAAATCTCGAATGATATGTATAACACTAGAGATTAATTTGTGACACTCTAGATATTTTGAAAGAGTAGTAAAATTACACTGAAAGTAACATCTGTTTTAAATGATTTGACAAATAATGTGTGATTTAATTCGATTTATGCAATTATGAGAAAGATCGAAAGTAAATCTAGGTTGAATCCAAATTTACCTATCCTAAACGCCATAAGAAAGTTTCATAATGCACCAAATCCAGCAATAGTTATACTACCTCGAAGAAATACTAGAGAGGTCAATTTTGAAAAGTATACCACAATTCATTGACCACATATGTGAGGAAGAATAAGGAAAACTAACGGATACCTCTCTACCATAACAATGTAAGCTCTTTCACATTAGCTCAAACAAATGAATACTTGAGCATTTCAAACATTGACCATCCGCTGTACTATTGTCCACTTTTTCGTGGACAATAGTTTTCTTCTAGAGAAGAATGTTCCTGCGGTCTAAAACCATGATTTGCAAGTATTTTTAACACTAACAACAAATAATAATAATAATAATAAAATAATAACTAACAAATAATTTTTTTTAACTATTAAGCTCATAATATATTAACATATGTATATACTCTTACAGTGAAAAATTAAAAAAAAGATGTATATTAAATCTGATATTGCTAAAACCAACTTATTGATACACACTATTATAGTGCAATTAAAAAACAGACTAAAATAATAATGGAACAGATCTATGCATGAATCATCCAAAAATATATCAATATTCAGGTTTGTATTTTTATATATTTACATTCGGTGGATGTCTGCATGTATTTTCAATGAGTAATGAATCAATTAAAATCATATAAAAAGTGCTTCTGGGTGGATTATATATAACGTCGACAAATGGTTTAAATTGTTTACTTTTCGTTAAATAATAAAAATAAGCGCTTATCTAACTACTGAACTATTCTCAGTATTACTAATTACTAATTATGAAAATTGTAAAAAAACTTTCTAAGACGGAGTTTTATTTATCTAAAAAGTAAAAATTATTTTTGCCTTATAATTAGTTAATAAATACTGAAAAAATATTATAATAGCACTATTTCAATAATATCTATAAATTTTATTCATAAAAGTGCCATGAACATGTATTGAATTTATTCCAGTACCTCTACATTCCTTAAAATATCATACTTGCCTTATTAAGATATAGAAAAAAAGTACACAATTCATTAATAATTATTTAAATTATAATTATGATTGATAGAAAATTTCTTTATTAATTCAATGGAAGAAGATATCACACAATCTTCTTTTCACTAAACAAAACAATTTCTTCCTCATATATATATATATATATATATATATATATGACTAGAGATATTTAATATTGAATTATATACAGTTCTCATTTATTTCAATAATAAGCATTTTCTTTTATAAGCATATCACAAAAGAATAACCGCTTGTTTTAAAATTAACATATGAAACAACAACACTGCTAGCTTATTTAGTTCAACCTTTTTGAAATCGCTTAAGTAATAAGCAACTCAAAGCGGCTATTGTAAACAGAAAATAATGAAAAAAGAAGGATATATAGAGAGCGGAATATGATCTGTCAGTCATATTCACAAATTATATTAAAAAAATTACTTTTTTAAAATATTTAAATTTACTCATTTACACTCGCAACTCTTCTGTCATCTGACTGGAATTTTACAAAAATAGTTCAATAGTTCAGTTTTGAAGCAGTTTCAGAAAACTATGCTTATTTTTGCAAATTTTGTGTTTGCTTTGTATGTTAATTTTTAAGTGATACGTGTTTTATTGGAACATTAATGTCAAAAGAATGCACCTATTGTCATCTTTGCTCATAACGTTTGACGATGGAAAATTCATATGAATAAATAAATAAATTTGGAACCTTTAATTTACTTTGTGCTTTTTGATATCACTCTGTATATATACAGTTTCCCATTTATAATTTTTTATATGTATAGCTTCAATAATGTAAGAAGGCCTAATATTTTTAATATATGTAATCTAATGCGGGCCATGTATGTTAACATACATGTCAAATGAATATATGAGCCTAAGAAATTTGTATCCATTCCAACATTCAAGTAAATGGGCTTTCTAGAGAACATTATTACTCTAGTTGAAGTTAGTTGAGTTGGTGCACCTGAGCACTTTTACTCTCTATTAACTGCAAGGTTTCTACAAAACCCCTCTTTGTGCCTTGTCTGGATTATTGTTTATCACTTCATTAGACTAAGCAATAATTGACCTCAGATCTGCATATCTCCCCGAGGTGCCTGTAATCATTTTGAGATTTGATAACGCGGTGTTAGTAAGTCTGTCAGATTTCGCAAATAATTTCAGGGCTCTATCCTTTATGTATTTTTTGATGGGATCAATCTTGAGGCCTAGTAGTTGTTTAGATTAATCTTCATCAACAAAATACTCAGTACCCAAAATTCAAGCTGTCGAAAAGTATGTCATGGAAATAGTCGCCGTGGAAGCTATCGTACGATCGAAATAAAAGTTGAAGCATTACCTCTCAGTCATACTGACTTAGTAAACAGTAGTGTTATGTGACGTTACACAATTTTTTTAACGTTGTTTGTTCGGTAATTCACTGATTCAGAACATTTTCAAAAATTTTTTATTATAGACATTGGCGTTCAAATAAAACCTGTGGTTTAAAAACAACAACCGAGGGCGACCATCAACTAATAATTCGATTGTCTAAATTTTTGAGCAACCTGTGTTTTTTTGAGTATTCACATCATTATTATTTTGAATATATTCAACTGCATTCTTCTACGACGTACACTTCGTCCAATTCAAAGTTGAACTTTCTGTTTTGCATTTTGCAACACTGCCAGCTCCGTTGTGAAATCATATGATTGGAAACACATGCGAATTATTCAGATTGTGGTATTCGCGAGCTCTTGCATTTGTAAAATACAATATTCCGCTTATATATAGTACTTTCACTTAACTAAGGAAGCTAAAAGTTTACCCGTATTAATACCAGTATTATTACAAAAAGAAGATAAGTAAGCATTTCAACAAAATTTTTATTTGTTTTTACCTTTTATTTTTGAAAAAAAATTTTAATATAATTTGGCAGAATATTAAAAATAGATTGTGTTATTAATTAAAACAGTTAAGAACCTTCTAAAATCGTCACAAATACAAAATTCTAATAATATCAAGAGTACTACATATCAGGAATCAATATCAAAGGCTTTTACCAGGAAGTTACATACAGCCGTCAATCATTTTATTTAATCTTGTATTGCAAAATTGATTGCATTGAATTGGTTGGATTACCAATTCACTGGTAATTATCAAATATCTGCAGGTAAGTCTAATACTATAAGTCGCTGTAATATTTTTATAGTCAATGGCATAAAAAATTTTTAAATTTAAAAAAAAAAAATGTCAGTTAACATGTACAATATTTGAGATGGGGTATGACGTCATACAAAAAAATGCAAAATTTTTAATTAGCAATCATGAAAATGGTTTAAAATTAGTTTAGGATAACTTGGAGTCCTCATACTCAGTGGTCGTAGAGGGAAGAACTGAGGAGGTTGAGATATAAACTCCGTCTTGGCAACATGAAATATAATATAAAAATTCAGATAAATACAAAAGTGCTGGCCTTTCTGACCAGTTACTTAGTCAATCTTTTATTAATCTCAGATTCTAACAATTGCTCATTCTTATATATGCAGCAAAACAAATCATTCCGGATTAGACAATTATATGAGGAATAATTGATTAAACAATTTCCTTTTTTCACGTCTTAAAAATACTCTCAGATATGCGTGAAATATTTATTTTTACTCCTTAAGCATGTCTTGTAGAAATTCTTGAATTTTGACTTTTTAAACTTATCTCAATATTATTTTCTTTTAAAAATTGGTACCCATTTATAGTTTACTAGACTTATTTCTATCACGCTTACTACTTCGTTAAAATTTATTAACCTCATCATCTTAACTTCAAAGACCACTTTATTATCCGCATCCGTAACAATTCTAGCATCAATTTTATCCATCAATTTTTCGCAGCTTTTTAACCTAGTTAAAGAACCTCTTCAAGCTCAACAGAACAAAACAGCTTCGTTAGCTACTTTACCATAACTACAAGCCCGTTTCCTCAACTACTTTAACTAAAGTAGTAAACAGTATCGACTGTTCTGTAAGAACAATTTGCATTATTGGATTTATTACCATCAATAGTGTCATCTGCATGATAAGTCTTAACAGCAATATCGAAAATGTTACATCAGCTGCATTAACTGCACTATCAGTACCAACCGCTTTAAAAAAGTTATCAACCCTTAGTGGGACCTAACATTTCTGGGAGTTCAACAAATAACAAAACTTATCCGGCATTTTAAAATAGAGAGTTCTTAGTGAATAGTACTGTAGAAATTAACTGTATTATTAGCTTTATCAATGCATACAATATAATCAATATCACGACTTTCTAAAATATTTTTCAGCTTATTAGTATAATTCCTCCTATTATCATTATTTTTTTAAATCAATTTCTTGTAAATGAGCACTTTCCTCTGTGCAGCTTCTCTGCTACAACTTTTCCATGTTTTCATCTCTCTTCAAATTTCTCTTATAGCGTATATTATTGATAGATAACTGATTGACTTTTAAAAAAAGATCATTAACTTTTCTAATAACTACATGTTATATACTTCCATTGTTTGTCATTAAAACTACGCCAATAAATCTTTGCTCAGTTCTTCTGTCCTTCATTGTTTTGTATTGTTTACTTATGATTGAAGAGGTCTTTCAACTATCCTTATTCAATATTATAACAAACAAACTGATACCTACTTTTTAAATGGAAGCACTATATAACAAACATGTTGAGTTATTTTGTTATATCAGGTCATCAACTTTGCAGTGTTTAATTAACTTTACTTCAGCACCATCCAGCATAGCCAAAGGTATTTTTAAAACCCAGTACTCTCTGTTTTTCCAAATTCTTTGTAATTCATACACTTCTACATTTGGTAGGTGTGTGTTCAATTATTTATAATGATTTGCCTATCAAATAATAAGTTGTTTAATTCAATTATTCTTAGTTGTAGTTTTGTACTAACTTTCTTATTTTGCTTTGATTTCTAGCCCTCACATCTATTCACCTTCACTTTATAATATCTTACTCCTCAAAGTCTGAAACCATGTTGATGTTCATTACTGATGATCGTTTTAGAGTTGTTATGTATTGTTGTTATTGAGCTGAGTCAACAAATTAATCACTGTATCCTCATCGCTATATTTAAGTATTTAATATGTAATGATGGTATTCCCATAAGTGCACACAGTTTCACTTACCTATAACTAATCAAATACCATGTGGATTACTGATCATGTATTCTGATCATATATTCTAATCATGTGTTCTGATCTGGTATTCTGAATACATGATCAGATGAATCAGGTTGACAAGTACTACTGTTGCTGCATGGATCATGCGAAATATTGTAACTGAAACTATTTTCGAAATAATAATAACAAAATAATGGCATAATAAATTTAATAAAGTGTACTATTAACGTCCCCTCGTATAACAACTCTGTCGATTAATTTCGGTCATTTAAAAAATGTTTATCTTATTGAATAATACTAAATTTTTAATAAATAAACACATGTATAAATATAGTCTTTCAGTTTATTCTGCCTCTTTATCCTCTTCCCCCTGGCTAAATTTTTTTTTATCCCATACTCCATTAGGAGCTTAAGTATACAACAAATGATTCCCAACTGTCTCTATTTTGCGAAATTTGTCGAAGTTCGTTAAACGATTTGCCAGTATTAATTGTTGTTCGCCATGTTGCCATTGGCTGGCCCTTACGCCGAGATATCGTCATAAGGTTTAGGCAGGGTATGGTCTATCCACCCAAATTTACGCTATTAAATTTCAATATTAATAGACATCTCGTCAGTTTGCCTCCAGAGTTCTTCATTTGATATCATTCTTGGCCACCATATCTTCATAATGTTTCGCAAGTAACGGTTGATGAAAGTTTGTAGTGTCTTTTTAATTTCTTCCGTTACAAGCCAAGTTTCTAATCTATATAACAAGACAGACTTAACGCATGCATTAAAAATTTATAATTTTTAAAATGCAGATGTTGGGTTCACGCCATATATTTCGTAGCCTGGTGACAGCACCTCTTACTTTTTGTATTCGATTGCTCTTGTCCCTGGCTACATACTTGCAACAAAAAAATTATTTTTGTTGCATGTCGCATATATTTTGCTGACTCTGCGCAAGTTACTGCTACAATGCGACTTGGTACTGTAGTCCAAACGACTTAGGTAACTTTGTAACTTCTATAGTAGCAGTAGTTCGTTCTATAGTGTAAAATAACTAAACACAAATTGATATATTGACGTTGTCTATCGCATTGGTTCCCACATTAAATGAAAACCAGTGACAATCTTCCAATTTGGTACTATTAAAGTAGTCGTATGTCGGATGCATTCTGGGCACGGCATTATGCATTTTATACAGTGTTATATTAATGTTTTAAACAATTATAACAGGTTTGCCTTGATTTATCACACAACATCCTTTAAATATAATTTTATACATTTTTTACAAAGTTAGTAAAATTAGTAAATTCATAAGTATATATTATACGTATTACGTATATTGTTTTAGAATCCATTTAAGATTAAAATGTTAATGTATTTAAATTTTATATACTAGGAAGCAAATTAGAAAATTGATTCACGAAAATCTAAAGTGACTTGTGCGGTTGATTTAACCTTTGGCTAACAAAATTATTTAGTTTGGATCTGAAGAATTCAAGTTGAAATAAAATTTGGTGAGCGTAATCTGAAAACAGCAGGTGAGCCCAATGCTCCTCTATATCACTCGTGACTATTGTTATCGTTAATTTAGAGGCACCAGTAGTCGTTTGCATCCAAAACATGGCTGCGAAAATTTTGAAAGTGCGTAAACTAGACAAGCAAGTCGCCGGAGTAAACGAAGAGACTAGTACCGGCTATAAACCCACAAAAATTAATTTCTGCACTGATTTTGACAAATACGTTTTGACAATAAACTTTGTAAAACGTGGTTGGCATCACGTAAGAGCCGAAAGCAATTGGCATTTCTTTTGGTCAAGTATTATGACTTGTAGAAATGTGTTTAGCGTTGACAGTGGTTACCGTATGAATGACAATCAAATTATAAACCATTTTCCTAATCACTATGAACTATCACGAAAGGATTTACTTATTAAGAATATAAAAAGATACCGTAAGGACTTAGAACGTGAAGGAAACCCCTTAGCTAAGAAGATCGGATGCACTGCAGGTGGTACTCGATATATGTATTTGGATTTTATACCAATAACTTATGTCTTACCGTCCGATTATAACATGTTCGTTGAAGAATTTCGTAAAAATCCATACAGTACTTGGATTATGAAACCGTGCAGTAAGTCTCAGGGAACTGGAATATTTCTCATAAACAAATTAACTCAATTGAAAAAATGGGCTCGAGAGTCGAAGGGACCTTATCATATAGTCAGTTCTAGAGATAGCTACGTTATATCGAAATACATCGAGAATCCTTTGCTTATAGGTGGAAAGAAGTTTGATCTTCGTATATATGTGCTAGTCACATCTTTCCGTCCATTAAAAGTGTATCAATACAAATCAGGATTTTGCCGATTCTGTACAGCTAAATACGATACGAGTGAAACGAATCTACGCAATAAATATATGCATTTGACTAATGTAAGTGTTCAGCGACGTGGATGTGATTATAACAGTTCGCACGGTGGTAAGTGGTCATTGAAAAATTTAATTCTTTATCTTGAGGGCACACGTGGGAAAAGAGTGACAGACAAACTTTCCGATGATATTTCGTGGTTGATTGTGCATACTATGCAATCTGTCGCCGCACTTATGTCTAACGATAAGCATTGTTTCGAGTTATATGGTTTTGACATAATTATCGATAACAACTTGAAGCCATGGCTTATAGAAGTTAATGCGTCACCATCTCTAACACCAACGACTGCTTCCGACCGTATACTCAAGCAAAAATTGATTGACGATGTAATATCGGTTGTACTCCCTCCAAGTGGCTTACCAGATGTGCGTTGGAACAAAATGCCTACTGTTGATGCTTTAGGTAATTTTGAACTGTTACTTGATGAGGATTTAGCATTGAGGGATGCAATTATAATGAAAAACAATAACAGATTTAAGAAACAACGTGAATCTTCAACCAAATAATGTGTGTTCTTCATTTGATTAAATTTTTTTTTTTAAATATTTCTGATCATCTACATTCATTATACGTTTTTTATGGATAATGTCGACAACATTATAGAATTTTAAACAAATTTATTATGTCATATAACTGATTAAAATATGCAGATTTGCCTAAATAAGTAATTTAAGTTTTTTTTATTGAAAATCTACTTTTAAAGTTCAAGCGAATTTAGAAAAAATCAAATAAAACCTCTTTTCACCATTTTCCCTCAATACAGTTCATATTTTTAAATTTTTAGAAAAGAATTTCGTCTTTGCTTTGGTGAAACTTAGGGTAAAATTCTGCTTTAAAGGAAAAAGTTGTATACGGAATTTTATTTAATTGCATTTAAATATAACTATTTGCAAACATCCGTAAATGTTCCAAATACAATATTATAGTTACACAAAGGCTATCTAACAATATTTTACAAACTGTTGAGAATAGAAGTGCCCTAGAAAGCTTCATAACTCAAGACAAGTCATAGCTTTTCCAGTTAAACTTTTTCTATTTTGTTGATTATAAACATTACTCCTTCTCTTACCTATAGCAATCAACTTAAGGGCATTATAAGTACTCTCACTTTATCTGCTACACCGATAAAACAATTTCCCAATAACTAAGACACTGTTACAAAGATGTATTGTATACCCACCTACATAGCTCAAGATGAAGCCTAGCTTCTACAACTAAACTCTTCTATTGTTGTTTAAAAATTTTACTTCCGTTACTTATGCTTATCAACTTCAGGTTATTTTTACTTTTGTGAACTCATTCGATATATGTATTAACGAGTTAAGAAGTTTGCTTAAGAGAGCGATTATTTTAACATAAATATAGGAAGACTAGTATTCACAGAGCCATTAATAAAACAAGTAGTGAATTTCACACCATCAAATATATTGCTTTCAAGTTCACATCTAAGATAGGTAGATTCTGGCGACAATATTGCCTCAGGCACAAATATAAGAAATTGGAAAACGGTTGCGTAGATTAGGGCTAACTAAATTTTAACACAGACGAAAACTAACTGAAAGTTGTACAGTTGTAAAGATGAATTCTAAATTCTAAATGGACCAGGTGATTTAGTGTTTGAAAATGGTTTAAGGAGGGTCTCAGATATACATATATCTATATGCACGGTTTTATTTAAAATCTATTTTAATATACAGCTTAATTTGCACCCTGTATATAAATTTAAAAAAAAAAAACTAAAGCAGTAAAACAGCAGTCGACGTCTGATACGTGGGCAAATCGAAAAGGAGAAATATTAGACTAATTATGCAAATTAATACATTTATATATATTATTATAGTATATTTATATTATTTTATAACAATAATAAAGAAGTAACAATATTAAAATTTATACTTTTTTAATATTAAATCATAGCTTTTTTTAAAAAAAATTTTAATTATCAATATACAGACTGGCCCAACTGAAATGTAGTTTTCCTTGTTTTTATTTGATATTTAATTTTATTAAATCAATATATTGGACTCTTGAAATTCACTTCGATTCTTTCATATGATTACCGTTACCGAGAGTTAGTACTCTAACTCAGTCCAACACAATTGCGACCCTACAGAAGTAGAAAAAATGTGGTTTAAAGGTACTGATCTCAACGAATCGCACATCGTTAAAAACCAAGAAAATACAAATGTCTCTATTTTCAGGTAGCCGATATTGAACATTAGCACGGACTGAAAATGTTCTCATTTAAGGGGATAACACCCCTTATATTGTTTGCGAATTATCGAATTATAATAGGAAGCATTGGATGACTAGATAACTTTTAGGATGGACAATGAACCTCCAGGTATGATCTAAATCCGGTTAATTACTTTTTGTAGGTGACCTTGAAATCGTTGTTTGAAATGGATAATCAAAAACAAATATCAAGCTTACTATTAACGATACACATCCAGAATACAGTTCCTTAAAAAACTGTTTTAAATCTTTAAACCCATATAATTTATTATATAATTTAAGAGAATTTTTGTATATCAAAATTTTGTATGTCAATATATAAAATTCTACACCCTTTAAAATGAAGTGTACTTTTCTGGAATACTTAATTTTAACACTTCATTTGGGGTAATAAGCAGATATATACAGAATATATATATACAAAGTTATCAAAAATATATAACACTGAGTTTAGTTATATATGAAAAATTAGTAACAAATAATTAAGTATCGCCAGAGTTAAAGATATTCCTTTTTCGAAAGAAGTTAATTTATATCCAATAAAACACTTTAAAAGAAATTATACAATGTTTCCGCCCGCGATCGAAACGAGGACCTTCCACGTCTTATGCGGACGTGATAACCACTACACTACGGAAACCCTTGGAATTGAAGTATCTTGATTTTTATATTAATTATTTTTAACAGTCACTTTAATTGCATAAGTGAAAAATGCTTAGATAGCAAAAGTTTATATATAATATTAATTTCAAATATTATCTCGATTAAGTCATTAGTTGTTTCCATAGAGAAAAGTCCAAAAAAGTTGATTGTTAGAAAAAATGGCTCAAATAACAGGACGAAATGCTTTTATATTAGTTAAAACATCACTTATTGCTGGTATTTTGTAGTATCGTTCTCGTATCACATATCGTAATTTCCATTTGCGCTTTGGGTTTCAGTCAGAGCCCCAGTATTCTGCCGACTAATTTCTAACTGACATTTTATAGTATCAGGAATTGGAGCTTCAGTTTCAGTCACACTAACCTTAAAAATGCCAGTATTCACAACAAACTGATTATGGATTTAAAGTCTTACACAACCAAAAATTTCATAGCCGGCAGTTCAGCACAATATATACGAATAATATATATACTTGAAAAACCATATTTAATGAAGCTTAATAAATGTCAGGTGAGTTCCTTTTCTTATTGTTCGTCTCAACTATTTCGTTTAGTGTTGTGTATCTATCGTTATTTTATAAACAACGATGATATTTTGATTTATTTAAAACATCTAATATCAATTTGCTGTTTCAAGACTAATTACTTTTGCAATTTACTTTCAGCATTGGAGATTGACCTTCAGAGCAATATGAATAAATATTCATGGACCGTACAGAAACATAATAAGACGATTTCGAATAACACAACTTCAACGTTGTATGTAATCAAAAAACTGCTATGATATACAATATAATTTTTGACACAATTAATGTATTCATAGAGAAGTTCAATGATCACGTGATATCCAGAAATTCTAATATAAACTCGCCACCAAGGCTTTGCAATATAATATGATTTCGCTTTTTTTTGCGGATACGTCAAATCATTGCTTTCCTTCGATAAACCACAAATTCTTAAAAATAGCAATCATGATCCTAAAAATAGCATTATTTGTAATATCTGTCAAATAAGTGTAGAGTGGTACCACAAAGTACTTCCACAATTATCTTCCATAATTAAATTTAAAATCAAAAGCATATTAATATATCACATTTATAATAAAAAAAGATTATATGCGTAACGTCTACGTTTTGTTTTAATATAATTAAAAATTTATTGTTACAATTTGATAACTTTTAATAGGAATTTTTCACTTCGACTTTCTCTACATACTTTCATACAGGCATTTACATTGGCACCACAATCCAAAAGTTCCTTTACAAGTTTCACATGATCGCCTTGAGCTGCTACAAATAATGGTGTGCCACCGTCCTGTGAATTTTATACAACAAAAAAATTATACCAATATATCATTCAAAAATCATATCGTTATGTAGCTTACCACAGATGGTGTGTCCACACTTTCTCCTGCCTTTACTAAAATTTTTATAACGTCTAAGTAGCCTCCTTGAGCTGCAAAGAATAATGGTGTTGTGCCAGTAGTACGTCTCGAATTCGCGTCAGCGTCTTGCTCAAGTAATTCTAATACACAAGGCGTATGGCCTCCAGCAGAAGAAAGTATCAGTGGTGTCGTACCATCCTTAAAATATATATATAATAACGTGAATTATATAAAATGTAATTTTTTTCAAAATAATAGAAATAGATAAGTCTACTTCCTTATGGTTCTTCATTTTCATCTCTCTTGTTGAAGAGGTCTATGTAAGTATATTAAATACGTTTTTTTTTTCATGAAAATAAATATGTACGTCTTTAAAATGCCGTTGTTTTTAAGAAAATAAACTTGCACGTACATATTTAAAATATTTTTTTTATAAAATCAATACACACATATACTTCGTGATCCTTCAAGGCAGTCACAGTAGATTGTTTACCCCAACACTGGCAAAGATTTTTCTTTGCAAATTTCGGGTTGCAAACCAGCTTTTTTTTATCTTTATAACTGAACCAGAAAGAGAACTAATTAGTCATCATACAATGTTTCGTATACGATAACCAATAACCAGTCACTCGAGTCAAATGTATTAACTTCGTTATTTAGCAAGTTAATGATCATTTATTTACGGTAACATTTTTACTGACGATGTTTATTTTTAAGTACTTATATCGTTAATATTAATAGGTTTTAGAGCATTTTCCTGAGGGTATATAACGTTTATATATAGATTTGTTAAATGATTAAATTTTTAGTGTTATGAGTTTCGGCACGGAAAGTCATCTAAGCTTATTGATAGGTCTTCTCCCTTCAAGGATTCATTTGATTTTTCTGTACAACTCTTCCTAATTGCTTTCAAATTTGCCCACAATGTCCACACTTTTAATTTTACTTAATTTTTGTTCAAAAAAAATGAAATATATAACTTATGGAGGACCAGTTTTGCGATGCACACTGAAATGTCGAACACAAAAGTGTGGATTTCGACGCTCGTTCAAACTGCACCCTTAATTGCAATTGGTGGTATTTCTTCCATTAATGATAAATAATTAATTAATAATAAATAGTATTCCAATAAACAGTATTTATTCCAATAAATAGTATTTATTTCAATAAGTTGTATTTATTCCAATAAATAGTATTTATTCCAATAAATAGTATTTATACCAATAAATAGTATTTATTCCAATAAATAGTATTTATTCCAATAAATAGTATTTATTCCGATAAATAGTATTTATTTCAATAAATAGTATTTATTCCAATAAATAGTATTTATTCCAATAAATAGTATTTATTCCAATAAATAGTATTTATT